TCTAAATAAGTGCTTGTTAACCCCTCATTTTTTCATTTAACATTTTAACACATCGACCTAAAGGAGCTGCAATAAAAGGAATGGGTACATTATGCAAAGCCATTAAATTATAAATGAATGATATTAATGCCAAATTTTCCTGGACCCAGAGGGAAACTCAGGGAAAATATAAAACTACCTTCAAAGACAACAAAATGAAGAATAAATGTGACATATGGACCTTAGGAAAAAATGGAAGTCAAGCACATAGGATAAAGAGACAGGGCCGGGCGTGGTGACTCGCACCTATAATCCCAGCACTTTAGGAGGCCACCTTTGGAAGATTGCCTGAGCTTAGAAGTTTGAGACCTGCCTGAGCAACATAGCAAAACCCTGTCTCTACTACCAAAAACATTATACACAAAATTAATTGGGAGTATTGGTGTGCACCTGTAGTCCCAGTTACTTGGGAGGCTGAGGTTGGAGGATCACTTGAGCCTGGGAGGAGGTTGCAGTGAGCCCAGATCGTACCACTGCACTCCAACCTGGGTGAAAGTGTGAGACTCCATCTTAAATAAATAAATACAAATTAAAAATAAAAAGAGAGATCAGGTGCGGTGGCGTCGGGCACGATGACTCATGCCTATAAACCTAGCACTTTGGGAGTCCAAGGCAGGAGAATCACCTGAGGTCGGGAATTCCAGACCAGCCTGACCAACACGGAGAAACCCTGTCTCTATTAAAAATACAAAAGTAGCCGGGCGCGGTGGCTCACGCCTGTAATCCAGCACTTTGGGAGGCTAAGGAGGGTGGATCACGAGGTCAAGAGATGGAGACCATCCTGGTCAACATGGTGAAACCCCGTCTCTACTAAAAGTACAAAAAATCAGCTGGGCATGGTGGCGCGTGCCTGTAATCCCAGCTACTCAGGAGGCTGAGGCAGGAGAATTGCCTGAACCCAGGAGGTGGAGGTTGCGGTGAGCCGAGATCGCGCCATTGCACTCCAGCCTGGGTAACAAGAGCAAAACTCCGTCTCAAAAAAAAAATACAAAGGTAGCAGGGCATGGAGGTACATGCCTGAAATCCCAGCTACTCAGGAGGCTAAGGCAGGAGAATCGCTTGAACCCAGGAGGCAGAGGCTGCAGTGAGCCAGGATGATGCCATTGCATTCCAACCTGGACAAGAGAGAAACTCTGTCTCAAAAATAAATAAATAAATAATTTCAAAATAGAAGGAGATAAGGAGATATGAGATTTTTACTTGGTTTATTTCACTATGTGCAGTTGCAGAGTAATTTTTTTTTTCTTCTTATGATCATGGTTCTTTTTCAAAGTTATTTCCCTCAGGAATTCCCTTAAATATGTATGTGAATGGAAGCATGCAGCTTCAAAATGAATAATGCTTTTAATAAAATGAAGACTGAGGTAAAGTTGGAGAAATGTACCAGATCAGTGGCTCCCTGGACATTGAGATTTTATACACTTCTAATAAATTGTGTCCTTAAAAAGGTTCAGGCTGAGCATGGTGGCTCAGGCCTGTAATTACAACACCTTGGGAAGGATCACTTGAGTCCAGGAGTTGAGACCAGCCTGGACAACATAGTGAGACCCCAGTCTCTACCAAAAAAACATTTTAGCTGGGCCTGGTAGTGCTTGCTTGCAGTCCTAGCTACTCAGAAGACTAAGGCAAAATGATCTCTTAAGGAGCTGGAGGTTGCAGTGAATTCTAATGGCACCACTTCACTCTAGGCTGAGTGACAGTGAAACTCTCTAAAAAAAAGTTTAAAAACAAGCAAACAAACAACAACAGTTAAAAAAAAAAAAAGCAGTGGAAAGCATATAGGATCATGGTAAGAGATTGCATTTATAAAAAATCAATGACATATAGCTTCATGAAAAACTTCCTACATTGGCCTTTTAATTCTTCTCTTAGGAGACAGTGTTGAGAAAATATGTGACACTGCGACCAAATAGCACTCTCTAGGCTAAATATTTAAAATATTAACTACTTAGTAAAACACTCAGTGTCAGTTAAAAATCAAGCAAATTGTGCCTCGTTTTGTAAGCATGAGTGTAAAAGCTCACCTGATTAATCTCACAACTACTAGTGGTACTGCCATTTGGTACATTTTTAAGATTACCTCCTGAGCATCCAGTTTTCACTATTCTGCAGATTAGCTAAAACAAAGCTCAAAATAACTCGTTACCTTCTCAAATAGCAGAATAGAAATCAAAAGGATGAAGAGTAATCCCTTTAATCTTGAGACAAGAAACTGGAAAACATCAAAATAGGAAATCTTATAAGTAAGTTGTACTGAAATGTGTTGATGTGTATGTGCCTTCTATCTATGAAAGAACCACTTAAGATTGGTGTCCTACAGCTAGCTCTGATCATGGACACTAATTGTGCATGTTTCGATGAAGATACTGGGCTTCATTATACCAGGATGTTTCATTTAATGAAAATTGAAGTCCCAGGATGCTTTATGAAAACAAGCTTCCTGTTAGCAACGCAGTAAGTACCCTTGGCTATGCTGATACCTAATAATTTACCCAACTTAGGTAAAGTTACCCAGCTAAAGTACGTCCAGATCTTGTCGGCACAAGTAATTGACAACCAAGTCCTTACTGTCCAATAGACCTACACTTTGATTCTAGAGAGAAAGGAGATTCTCCAAGAACGGGGAATGACGTTCCTGGACTGCCGGTGTCGCCTCTGCTTCCATATGGCTAGGAACAGGCTGAAGATGGCCTTCTCTCAGGGTTGAAGCCAGGAAGGGCCACCCTGGGATGCAGGGCACATGCCAGCTCTTGGGGATTGGAGTCCATTCCCATCATTCAGAAGCAGCACTAGTGACTGAACAGGATCTTCAAACTGGAGGGACAAGCCTGGCGTCCCTGTACACATTCCTCTGGATTCCTCCTGGTTCCCTCCTTGCTGCACAAAGGTGCCCGGTAAATGAATGTTAGACCCTGGAACCCTTCATTCTTCACAGAGAGGGACATCCCTGAGTTAGTGAAGCCAATAGGCGGTGCGTTCCCCGATGGTTCGGACTTGCCTGTTGAGCACAGCCTGTGCAGTCCCTTCTCGTCATTTTAAATCATTCATGAGGAGAGAACAATCTAGGTTAATCCAAAATTAACATGGTGCCCAACACTGTTCCCTTCCTGGCTGAGACAATTACTCCCACGTGTACTACATTTTCTGCTGCATACAACTTCAAACTACACCCCAAGGTTTTTTCTTCAGTATGGTAAAATTAAATGTTATGAACCATGGCTAGGTTAAAATTCGGATTTAAACATTTTGGTGACTACATTTCTAACATTTTTCAATTGCTTCAACACCTAATAGAGTTAGATAAAATAAAATAAATCTATATATATAGCTCAGATTTTAATTCTCCTATTCTACTCAACGACTAAATAAACTCAGAAAAATGTCTTTTATTTATTCAAAAATGGCAATTTACAGTAATAAATGCTAATCTGGGAGGCTGATTTGATTGTTCTAGTCACCAAAAAGCTTAGCATTTTTTTTTATTAGAAGAAGGGGAAGTGGGGACAGAATATATAAAATATTACTTCCACCAAGCACATTTTCCTGCGAAAAAATGTGTGGCATTTAATCAGTAGCTATATAAATGTCTTCCATGGTTCACTGAATCTGTAACCACCCCACCACCATCACTTGGTCCCCAAGCTATTCTGTGTATTTGAGGACACATGGGTAATAACCTGGACATTCCCTTCTTTTTTTCTTATGTAAAACAGTTGCGTGGTGGTTACTGTGTTTACAGATTCTTGTATGCTGTGCTTTCAAGCATTAAGAATTCAAATTTATCTCACTACAGAAACAAGAACTCAAAAAGTGATCATAAATACCAATTGAACCCAATGGGTATATTTACATAATATTCAGTTTCATCACTTTTTCTTTTCCAGTGAGGTGAGAGACAGATTACAGGCTACTCCCAAAATTTTTTTTCCTTTTTTATTTAGCCATGTATAATGTAACCCATAAGAATGGAACCAGGTTCATCTGAATCCATTGTATCATTAATGTCCCTTTGAGAATCAATTCCGTTACACTGGCCTTCACAAATTCCACAGGGTATTTCCTATGCTGCAATTTTCTAAAGTATGATTCACTATTCTGTGAGCTTTGGAAAATCAAGAGATGGGAGAGACACGACATCAGTTGGTGCATACCTACACATCATGACTGATATTGTCACCCGGTATATCCCCAAGCCTTTCAACGGTTCGGTAGTCAAAGGGACCTTACCTCAGAGGTGATAAAGGCTACACCCTTTTGTAGGTAAGGCAAGGAAGGTCTGGAAAGGTTGGAAATGACTTAAAAGTCATCCAAGTCACCAGTGGCAAAATCAGGATGGAAACCCGGTCACCATCAAGGCCGGTTCCATGCTGGCTTCCAAATCATTCCTGTCTCATAGCACAATTCGTAGGTGGCCTTTCCTGGCTCTACCGTGAATATGGTAATAAAAGTGGGGGATGGGAGAGAACAGAACAACCATCAGTGGTGCCACAATTTACAAACACAGGTTTCTATAAGATCCTTTCATTTTTTCCCAGCCTTCAAGATCAAATCTATTTATTTTCTTTCAATGTGTTTTATTCAAAATCTTTGTTCTTCTTAATTACACCCACATTTTTATAGGGTGCATATGCATAGACACAGTATGTTTTCAATTTAACTTCTTTGGGGATAGTTTACATTGGCCTAGCTACTTATTTTAACAAACAATGCTCACAACTTTTTCTAAAAATAGAGGTGGGGTCCCACTAGGTTACTCAGGCTGGCCCTCAACTCTTGGGCTCAAGCCATCCGCCCACCTCGGCCTCCCAAAAGTGCCGATGACAGGTGTGATCCACCGTGCCCGGCCTGTTTTTTACTTCTATCCAAATATATTCTGAAAGATGCCCAATATAGTGCGCTGTTCCCAAATAAAGCAGTGATTGAGGGGGACTGGGGAAATAAACAAAAAACCCAAGTCTTTGTCACTTCTTTTTAATTGTTTAACTTTATTACTGTTGCACCATTTATACAATTACATATAATTTCAATGCATCCATTGTACATTTTTTTGTTTTTTTATTTTATTTTTTTTTCCATTTTCCAATGAGTGGTGTGTTGGTGTCTGTGACACAGAATGGAAGAGAAACTGGAACTGCAATGAACGCAGACTTTTTTTTTTCTTTTTTTTTTTTTTTTTTTTTTTTTCATTTCCACTGACCAATAAACAGAACTACAGGTGCACCCAACCACGGACATGCATTAACTCGTCATGAGAAATCTAGGTAGGCTAAGTAGGATGAGAGAATGTTTGTCACTCCCAAAAATATCTGGAGAGGAAGAATGGAGGACTGGCATTGAGATCCATGTGGACAAGCTAAGTGGGCTCTGTCTGAAAGCTGGCATTCATCCACAACATTAAAAAAATATCAAAATAAGAAAGGCTGTAAATTAAAAAGAAAACACAGAAAATACTGCTCTCATAAAGATCTGATTGCCTTGGCACAGGCCACGTGGGCAGAATCAAACGCATCACTCCCAACTCCCATTGCAGAAGGAAAGCTTTTCATTCAACTCTCAGCGGTGGAGGAGTGCATGGTGGCGGCAGTTTCAGGCAGAAACGATGTACTGCACTTTCAGACGCGGATCTTGGAAATCCAGGACTTCTTGGTAAAGTTGACTGAAGGTATATTAGATATTTCCCCACAAAAATACTATTTGGATTCTCCCACCCCCTCCCTCCCTTGATGGGACATCCTTTATTTTTCCTTGGGCAATACATATCATTACTTCCAATTTGAAACAAGTTAGTATAGGAGAGAGGAGAGAGAGGAGAGAGGAGAGGAGAGAGAGGAGAGGGGGAGGGGAGGAGAGAGAGAGAGAGAGAGAGAGATGGAGGGAGGGAGGGGGGAGGGGGAGAGAAGGGGGGAGAGAGAAAGGGAGTGGGGGGAGATTGTTTTAAGTGGTATTATTTTTCCTATAGGCTGTCCTTGTCACTCTTTCACCGCTACGGTTTGATCGGAATTAGCTGCCGGGGCCTCCACGGGCTTGGGCTCTTCCGCGGGGGCTGCGGGGGCCTGGGCCTTGGGTGTGGAACTAGGCGCTTCCGTGGCTGCGGGGGTCTCCTTGGAAGAGGGGGCAGCCTCCGAGCTGCCGGGTTTTGAGTCTGAAGCTGGGGCCCCGTCACTTTTGGTCTCCTGGGCGGCAGGAGCTGCGGGCGCCTCAGTCTTTTTGGGTTCCCCTTCCTCCTTGCTGGGCTCCTCCCCGGCGGCAGGGGCCGCGCTCTCGGCCGGGGCCGCGGGGGCCTCGGCAGCTTTGGGGGCCTCGCCGCCCGCAGCGGGGCCGGGGGCCGCCTGCTCCTGCTCGGGCGCCTTCGGGGGCTCGGCCTTGGCCTCGGCCGCGCCCTCCGTCTTCTCCGGCTCCGCCTTCGGGGCCTCCTCCTTGGCCGCGGCCTTCTCGCCCTCCTTCTCCTCGGCCTTGCCCTCGGCGTCCTGGGCGTCCTTGTCGGGCTTCTCCTTGCCCTCCTTGGCCTCGGCGGGCTCCGCCTGGGGCTCGCTCTCCTTCGGGGTCCCCTCCTCCTCCGCCGCCGCGCCCTCAGCCTTCTTGTCTTTGTCCTTGGCCTTCTCGTCGTTCACATTGTAGCCCTTCTTCTTCTTGCTGAGCTTGCCGCCCATCTTGGACTTCTGGAAGCAAACACAAAAGAGAACAAAACGGGGGTTACTCGGCAAGTGCGGGGACCACGCAGTGCTGCCTTTTTATTCATGTGTTTATTTTTGAGACAGGGTCTCGCTGTGCTGCCCAGGCTGGAGTGCAGTGGCGAGATCTCCGCTCACTGCAGCCTCCACCTCCTGGGCTCAGGGGGTCCTCCCCCCTCAGCCTCCCGAGCACCCACCATGCCCGGCTACTTAAATTATTATATTATGCAGCAAGTACACAATTAAATATAAAAAAAAAAAATTTTTTTTAATCAGTGAATCAAACACATTAAGGAGCTCAGTGAAGTGGGTTTTGCCATAATTCTAAATGAGTTTTTAAAACAGTGAGTCAAGAAAAGAAATGAAGGAGCTCAGTTGTAGAGCTTCTAATCATAGCCAGCGGAGGGAATAATGAGCTGAGATCAAAGAATCAGCGATTAGAGGCGAAGCTTGTCAACCCTGGACAGGGGCAGCACGATCTGTTTCTTATCTGCTGTCCCCTATGTGACGCAAACACCATGAGTGGAACAGGCGTGTGACACGTGGCAGGGGCAGCCATCTCAGACCCAGGCTAGAGCTAGAGAAAGGCGTTGCCATTTTAAAATGCTTTCTGGAGAAACTGCACAGCCATAATAAAGCACAAATCACAGAATTCAAGAAAATGATCTGAAACTGCAAACTCACTCTGCTACGTATGTGTGTGTTTTGTACCAGCAAACACATCTTCAAACATGTAAGGCAAGCAGGATTCGGTCTATCTCCTTACCAAGCAGGGGCTGTTATGGAAAAGCCAGTGTCTCCTGCTGGTTGTGTCTGACATAAATTCATTGCTTTTCAAGGTACTTTCAGGTTAAAAAAAAAATAGTTCCATAGTAATATGAAATTGTTCTTCATGATCAATTTCCTGATTAGAATTCAAACTACACATGCACATTCAATGGTTATTAACAACTGTCTTGAGGCTGCTGCTTTCATTCTGGCACAAGAAACTCTGATTGGATTTGAATCTTGAATTTCTCTCCTCTGGGAATCAAGCATTAAACCAGATAAATAATAAATTATAAATTTATAAATAATAAATTTCACCCAGAACCACGGCCAGAGCTAAACAGGCTCTGGGTTTGGTTTTTTTTTTTTTTTTTTTTTTCCTTCAAGTCCATTTTTCTGTCACCATACATCAGTAAGAACCCACTGAAATGTTGCTTTTGTAAAGACAATCGGATGCTTTTCCTGGATGAAGTATGGCAGAAATCACATTATACTAGACGCACCAGTCAAACAAAGGAGAAAAGCCCAGGAGAGGGCGTTAGCCTCGCCCCGGACCCCAAGGGAGGTTAGAAAGAGCAGGGGGACCACCTGGTTTTGCTCTGGTCAGGCCCACTGGCAGAGCTGTAAGCACTCCTTCACCAGCTTTGCAAATACATACATCCTTCATTTCGAAGAGAAAGATTTGCTGTTTATTACCTCCTTGGAATCAAGATTCATGACAATGAAATAGCCTACATGTATCTTATTAAAAGTTGGGTTTGGGGTGGAAGAAAATGATTCTTCAGTCAAAATTTGTCTCACCACTCTACATGCTAATTTCCTATCTGGAATGACTTCAGTAGTTGGGAGAGAGAAAAGCAATAAACTTGAAATTTGACTAAAATACTATTTATATTCTCAAGGAAGGTCTTTATGTTACCTAAGATTCTCTTACATGTCCGTTTTTTAGAAAAGGGGTGGGGTGGCTCACGCCTATAATCCCAGCACTTTGGGAGGCCAAGGCGGGTGGATCACTAGGTCAAGTGTTCGAGACCATCCTTGTCAACATTGTGAAACCCTATCTCTACTAAAAATACAAAAATTATCTGGGCATCATGGTACAGCCTGTAGTCCCAGCTACTCAGGAGGCTGAGGCATGAGAATTGCTTGAACCCAGGAGGCGGGTGTTGCAGTGAGCTGAGATCCCGCCATTGCACACCAGCCTGGGTAACAAGAGCGAAACTTCGTCTCAAAAAAAAAAAATTAAAGGGAGTGGCATTTGGTCATAACCTGCCTCAGACAGTCTTTATTGGATTTAACTTTTGATTATTTCTCCCTCAAAAGTAGAAACAAATATATACGGCAAAAAAATACAATTAAATACACTTTCATCCTATATGCGATCACATAGCAGTAAATTAAAATATAAAGAAATAAACTGGATCAATATTTTAAATTGTAGTTTATAAGTCTTCCATTGAATTCTTAACCAGTCAGTATGCACAAATGGCCTATACCAAATATAATCTCAGCTCTGGTATTTCAAGATATATTTGGGTCCCTTAGGTTGAACTAAATAAGAAACAGGAAACCTGACAGGTCTGCCTTTAGGGTCTTCTCTCAATCCAGTAATAGAAACCTATACACCAACTTGGAAATTACAGCCGCTAAGATAAAGTGCAAACGTAGCGGGTACTGTAAGTCTAACACGGGGTGCTGCTTTCTGACACCCACAGCATGAAATTCTATACAGCAATCCCAGAGCTTTAAAGTCATGTTGGGTTACAAACCTAAAATCTGAGTTACTAAAACTGACTTTCTGACACACAGTTAAGCCCACATTCTATTCTTTGTCTTAAGCCCAGCTGCGATTTGTTTCTGGGTCAAAAATGAACACACATAATCAAGTTATAAGTAAGTATATCTGTCTCAATCTGGTTTGTTTTTCAAACAAAGTTAACAAACGCCCCTGGCTTTTTGCTAATTTACCTCTGCTGGGACTGAGGTATCAGAGGGGGCTCATAGAACCCACCAGAACCCTGGAAAAGCAGGGTTGTCTCATTATTTCCCAAGACCATATGGGTGAAGACCTTGCCCACAGCATCTATGCACTGTTTCTGAGGTATCTACACAATCCTGCTCCTTAATATACTACATGAAATATGTAATCTCAAAAACACCATGGGGTACTAGGCCACTCACATTCTCCTTTTACCCATAAGGAACTCCTGCTGGCTGAGCTCACGGAGCTGTGCCACAAGCAAAGGCCAAGGCCGGCACAATTCCGTAAGGCAGGAAGGGACCACAGAGTGAGCAGAAGGAACTGCACTAAGAAGCCGGCAACTGGGCAAAGCTCTCAGCCCAGGGATGTTACCACGCCTGAGCGACAAGGGTGATGCCACCTGGGGTAGGTAGCTTAGAACTCAGGTGTTGTGGGAATAAGGAAGAAATTCAGTTTTTTGAGTATCCTCTGCCTCTCAACTCTCAACGTTTCATCTTCCTATTTGCCAGAGATGCTATTTACCAAGAGAAAGCAATGAGTACACACTTTAATGATTTCATTCATTTCTTTTTTTTTTTTTTTTTGAGACGGAGTCTCAGTCTGTTAGCCAGGCTGGAGTGCAGCAGTGCAATGCTGGCTCACTGCAACCTCTGTCTCCCGGGTTCAATCAATTCTCCTGTCTCAGCTTCCCGAGTAGCTGGGATTACAGGTGCCTGCCACCTTGCCTAGCTAATTTTTGTATTTTTAGTACAGATAAGGTTTCACCATATTGGCCAGGGTGGTCTTGAACTCCTGACCTCAGATGATCTGCCCACCTTGGCCTCCCAAAGTGCTGGGATTACAGGCGTGAGCCACCATGCCCAGCTGATTTCATTCATTTATGTTGCTTCTAATTTTGAAAGAAATCATTTGGTGTAGAAAGTTAGAAGTTGGAACTTCTAAGATGAAAATTCAGCAGTTTAAAAAAAATACAGCAACAGGTAATCCACTCTGAAAGGCACTTAAACCTAAACCAAAGCCTACTGAAAGGGCTGAGACTGACTTGACGTTTCTCCACAATTAGGACATTCACTAGAACCTGCGTGGCACAGCAAGAAAATGCAGACCAATGCTGAACACACTGACCTCGGCTCTATGTGTTTATGTGTTAACCAAACATTAAAACTGACCTCTCCTATGACATCTCAGAAAAAAGCAAATTCTGGAGCTGTTCTTTAAAACTGTGCTTTAAAAGCTGGGTATGGTGGCTCACACCTGTAATTCCAGCACTTTGGGAGGCCAAGGTGGGTGGATCACTTGAGGTCAGGAGTTCAAGACCAACCTGGCCAACCTGGCAAAACCCTACCTCTACAAAAAATAAAAATTAGCCAGGCGTGGTGGCACGCACTCTATAATCCCAGCTATTTGGGAGGCTTGAGCCCTGGAGGTGGAGTTTGCAGTGAGATGAGATCGTGCCACTGCACTCTGGCCTGGGCAGCAGAGTGAAATTCTGTCTCAAAAAAACCAAAACCAACCGAACAAAAAAGCTGTCCTTTAAAGAAAATTCTGTGCCACAAAGGCCAAAATGAAAGGCTTATGGCTTAATATTGGCATAGAATATAATTAACCCTAAACAGCAGCAAAGAGAGGAATTTCACTGAGTTTAATTAAATATCGGGCAAGAATTATTTCAAGGAGACTTTGATATAAGTCCCACCTCCAGAGCACACTCACCCAGAATCCTTGGGCAAGTTATTTAATCTCATTGTCCTTCCGTTTCCTTTAAAATTAAATTTACAAAAAAATGTCGATTTCATGGGAATTTAATGTGAGGTCATGTGAGTACATTTTACATTCCAGGGCCTGCAAAAATGTTAATTCCTTCCCCCATCATTATCTTTGCCTGTAAACTCCAACAGAATAGTAGAATACAGGTTCCATGCACACAAGTTCTAGAATCAGGCATCTGAAGCACCACAATAAAAAGAACACTTAACATCTTTTTAAAAATGTTATCAAACAGATGTTTGGTATATGTGTTCTATGCACGCCCCTGCTGGCTCCATCTGAAAAAGAAGTTTTGTTTTGTTTTGTTTAATCTTTGCAAAGTTATGACTGAGGAAAAGAAGTTTTTACAGTTATCTGTTGTCACCATACTGTAAAGTCTCTACTTCCGAATAAAATAAAATCTGAATAATTTATGTACTTAAGATTCTAAGGCTGGGTGTGGATGCTCATGACTGTAATCCCAGCACTTTGG